AAATCGAATTATGTCTGGTTCTCGTAATTTTTATCAATCAGAGTGAATTTCTGAAATTGGGCAACAAGGTCGTCAATCTAAATTATCGACTTTTCTATTGTGTTACACGCAAAGGAAAAATGGAATAAGCTAATTTTCTTAATTCGTGGCCAGAAAATTACGAAGTTAACTATGTGCAAATTTGACAAATGTAAGCAATTTTATTCAAAAACGTTTTATTGTTATTTTATTCATTGTTCTAGCTCGTGATAAAGAAAAACGTTTTATTTTTCAACAGGAACTAACCACAATATTTAAAAAGCAATGGCAATGGCAAATATTAATTGTTATTGGCATACAGGGTCCAGCGATAGTGCGTCGGTCATCTGTAGCTCCTATAATAAACAACTTAGAAATTTTGCATTGTATTGTATGCAAACCCAAAGTATGTAACGTATAGTATGTAATGTATAGTTTTGACATCAGGACGTTTCTTGTTTTCAATATTTTTTTAAAGGCTGAAAAATATATTATTTTATTTATTTATTGGCTCAACTTTCGTTTAGCTGAAATCTGTTATATAAAAAATGACTAAATATGCGTTCTAGAAGGCGTTAGGAGTACAAATATACAAAAATTTTCCTGCGGAAATGCGTCATTTCCATTTTTCGGACTTTAGTATAGCCGAAATCTGTTACAACAAAACTCGTCTTCGTCTTGTGTTTTAGACATTTTTCTAAACAGAAAAACACAAAAAAGTGCCTGCAGAATTTTTTTATTTTTATTTTACATAAAAAAATGCTTCGACTTTAGAATAGCCGAAATCAGTTACATGAAAAATGAACTTATATTTGTTTTATACGTAAAGGTGAGCAAAGAAATACAAAAAAATTCCTGCGGAAATGTGTCAGTGTCATTGTGTGCACTTTGTTTTTCATACATTTTTCAGTTTAAAAGCTTACGGGACCCGGGAGCGAATAGGGGTGCTGGGTGGGGTAAAACATCTTTCGGAGGAATAACAATTTTTGTAGAATAGATAATATAGGTTCTTGTAAACTATAAGTACCTCGGAATGTTGCACTTATTCTTGTTTTTTATTAAAGCTTTACTTAAACAGGGCTGAATCAAAACAAACAATCATTGGATCATGCAGTTTTCTTTTATATTTTAATAATTAACTGTGATTTTGCAAAAATATTATTAGATTGGTTAGCATTTTAGACACTTTTAAATGATTTTTTTTTGGTTCAAAAGTGCCCCAAGGATTTTTATTCTTTTAAACTGTTCTATAAGCATAGGACTTTCTGCCAAAAAAAAATTTTTGCTAAATTCGTGGGTACTTATACTTTACAAGGCCCGATAATATAATAAGGAACAAATGGAAAATGAAAATCAAGCATTTCCGCAGGAAATTTTTTATTTTCCTGCATTTGTAAACGCTTCTAAAAGGCAACAATATATTTATTTTTTATATAACTGATTTCAGCTATTCTAAAGTATATTAAATTTCCTTAGAAAATGGATACAGTTTATTACTGCAGGAAAATTTTTATTTTCCTCAATTCGTGAATGCTTCTAAAAGGCAAAAATATATTTATTTTTTATATAACTGGTTTCAGCTATTCTAAAGTCTAATAAATTTCCTTAGAAAATGAAAACAGCTTATTTCCGCAGGAAAATTTTTGTGTTTATATGTTCAGAAAAATATTAAAAATAAAAAGTGCGAAATTTGGAAATTACGCATTTCCGCAGGAAAATTTGTGTTTTCCGTGGTTCATAGTAGCTTTTTAAAGACAATTTTTTTTTCTAATAACTGATTTCAGCTAAACGAAAGTTGACCCGCCAAAAATGCAATAATATACAGGGTTGTTCACCACTTACGACACGGAGTATTGTAGTTAAATGATAAAATTTTTACAAATTGTAAGTTTTGGGTTCGTTGAAGAACTATTAGAGCTACAATTTAAAAATATTTTTACAAGATACAGAGTGTCCCAAATAAATAAAAAATATCAAAGTTATATTTTTTTAAATAGAACACCCTGTATATTATTACATTTTTAGTTTCTACGATTAAAATAAAGGTAGATTTGATTAAGGTTTGTTACATTTAAACCTTACCGTTTTTGAAATATTTTCAATTTTGTGAAATTGCAGTAAAAATTTTAAGGCTTCATTTCTCCAAGGGTATCAAAATTTTTAATACTAAATATTTACTGAAGTTTATTTATTGATCAGTTATTGGTGTTGCAATAATAAAAATAATACTACCTTATACAGAGTGTCGAAAATTTTATTTTAAATAATTATTAGCTTTAAACGGTAATAACTTGTTTAATTTAAATGGAACACCCTGTATATTTTATGAGAATCAGATGCACAATTTAATTGTCTATCAAATTGTATTATACCATTTTTACCTATCTCTTTAAGTTTCCGTTGAAAATGCATTTTCTTGTAATTTAGAACTTATTTATCAATATACCCATGGAATACTGACATTTTAGATTAGTTTTAAAGATGTACCAAATTTTTAAAGACTACAGATACTAATATTGTCGATATAATTCGTTTATTTCATTAAAAAATAAAAAAAACTGTTTAAATATTTGTTAAAAAGGACCAATTAATATGATTCCAGTATTCAAACTACATTAACTGACTGTTTGCGTTGATTAATAATAATTGCCCCAAATACTAAAAAACTGAGTTTTGTATGTGTATTAGACAGTGTGGTAAAAAGTAACACCTGAAAAGGATATTTAATTTTTTAATAAATGCTTATTTATAACAACAGAGACGTTCATTTTCATAACTTATTATTATATTTATTTCTGATTCAAATCCACATTTATTTAGAATAATTTATTAACAAACACAATTAAGTATGTAATTAATTAGTATTTGGGCGGAAATAATTTTGTTATATTTAATTAATCGTATTAGAGTTAAGAAGCTCTTAACTCACTCATAATGCGTGAGTTAAGAGCTTCTTAACACACTGACGTAGATAAAAATATTTAATAAAAACGACAAATAAAAAGAATTCAAATTAAACATAAGTAAATAAATCAAACGAAAATTACTTCAATATTTGCCGACATATCATCGAACATATTAAAGATATACGTATCTACAATTGCCTATATAACAAAAAATATACGATTAATGAACTATTTAAACAATGGAAGTAAAAAAGCAATGTCGCCTCGGTCCTCGGTTTGTTATAGCTTGTATCTAAAAAAACATTTAAAGGAATAAATAAATAAATGTAGTATTATTTGTTTTATGACAGATAGAATATCAACGATAAATATCCCCTTCTAAATATAACAAACATTTTTTGGGGGAGTAATAGTAAACATTGTTTTTATACAAATTTTCTGCCGGATAAAAAATATGATAATTAACTTATTGTAACTGTTATCGGGGGCTAGGCTTTTGAAATCAAGTTTTTGACCTAACTATAATCTAATTATAATCAAAGTTATATTTCTTTTGTCTCGAAATCCTGTAAAAAACTTACTGTAGAACGGGAGGAAATTAAGAACACTTGGTTGTAATATGCCTCAAGCCTTTATCACGATAACCGGAATTATCACGAAATGACCGGCCCATCTATCATCAGATAAAACAAGCTATAGGACTATTAAAAAATAGTAAAAGCCCCCTTGGCATGATTACGCATATATGCTGAAGAATTAAAACATCTTGATCGAAACAGATGCGTTAAATGGTGTATATTTAACGCATCTGTTTAACAAAATATACAGGGTGGCCCATCGAAAACATTCCGCAAGGCATAACTGCCAGAGTAATTTTTTTTTCAGAAAATTCAAAAACATGTCAATTTTGTTTGTGAGGGGGACAACTTTTACCCCAAAAATGATTGCAAAATCTTCAACCCTCTAAGCGGGGGTGTCATCCCCCAATTTTTTTCAAATGGAAAGGGGTGTCAAGTGGTACCGCAATGAAAAGAACTATTACTAACTATTTTATTAGCCTCCACTATGGAAGATCTTCAAGAACTGCTAAATAAGATAAATAGTGTGGGACAACAGTACGGGCTACATATTAATACTTCAAAAACTAAAACTATGGTGATTAATAGACAAATCCAAAATGTTAACCTCACTGTAAGCGGCGAGATCATTGATCAGGTAGATAGGTTTAAGTACCTCGGCTTAATATTATATTGTTATCAATAACAAATGGGACTGCGATGAGAAAATTAAAATTCGAATCAGCATGGCCTAAGCAACGTTTCGAATGCTTCAGAATATCCTCCTACAACAACGCTTACCATTATATCTCCGTCTAAGAGTGATTCTGTGCTACGTATGGCCCGTCCTGTTTTATGGCACGGAAAACATGATCAATGTATGGAAACATGGTCAATCAAAGTAAAATTCCTAAATCGCATCGAAGCGTTTGAGATGTGGACTACCCGCAAACTATTTAAGATTTCGAATATAAATCACACTTCAAACGAAGAAGTCAAGTGGAAAGCTAGTGTCAAAAGACAGCTGCTTAATATAGTAAAGACCCGGAAAATATCATAATTGGGGCACATTTTGAGAGGAACTCGCTACGCCATCGCCATTCCGAAACTGGTCCTGCAGGGCAAAATTCAGGGTCAAAGAGGGCCAGGAAGAAAACAGCAGTCATGGCTCCGGAACTACAGGGATTGGAGCGGGATACCGGACGGATAACCATATTCCGTCGGACAGAAGACATTGCCCTTGCAATCAATTGAAGACAGTGTATACCCCAGCGTGCACGATTCCATATGGGACCGGAAGAAGAAGAATAATAATAATAAAAAGTTTTATACCAATTTAAATATGAACAATTGTTGTGCCCTGTTATCTCTAGTGCTTTTAATATGTCCCCTATCAACCATATGCCAAGAATATAAAAATGAAACTTTTCTAATCTTCTATAATTTTTTCATTCTTTTTTCGATTTAAGTTTTGAGAAACACCGGGAAACACAGATAAAAAAACAATATTGCTCTAAAAGGGTTTATCCTTTATTATTATTTTCAGCTCGCCAACCAAAGTAGGCCAACTGCCATAATTTAAACAAACTTTCAACGTCATTTTTCCCGCCGCTTCTTTTATTAATCATCGGCAGGAATCGCAACCAACAGTTCTAACCCTTCCAACTATGTCCATTCCATCTCTCAAGAGGGTTTCAACGTTCCATCTTCTCCATTTTTATTATAAATATTAAATAAATTGAATACTGATAATGGGCCAGTACCCGCTGATGGTTCAGGTACAGGCTTCTCGCAGGAATCCGATTTTTCCTGTCGTTGCTCCTTGACCTTCTTCAGCTGTTCCAGAGCTTCTTCGTAGGTCGGTAGTCCGGAGACGATTGTGTAGCTTGGTAGATCTGACTCTACCGATCCAGCCTCTTGGTTGTTAGGGATGTGACTCTGATGAGCTGAAAACAAAAAAAAAGTATTATTTTTGTGGAAATTTTTGGAATTTTTTTTAGTTTTTAGTTAAAAAACATAATTTTTTGATAATATGACAACATAGGTGTTAGATTAAATTTACAAGAAAGAAAATCCAGAAAAGATCCAGTGGTTCTCAAAATTTTAGCAAAAAATCATTATTTTTGGCAATAAACATCAAAGTAAAATAACTCCGTTATTTTGGACTTATTTGAAAAACGATAAAGAGAAAATATGTTTCTTTTATCGAGATATACCACCCCTTAAAATATTTGCACTTATTTCTGGGACACCCTGTATATAATTTATAAAGTATTTCAGTTAGCTTTAAAAGGTAACGAACCGAAAATAGGAAAATATGGTGTTATTTTTTTTAATGTCATATCGATTTAAAATATTTGTTCAATTTGCACAAGTTGCCACTGGTCTATGTACTATTTTCGATAATATACAAAGTCCATAAGAAACATAAACAAATATTTTTTTTCTCATAAATGGCATAAAACAAGGCAATTTAAATAAAAATAATTACTAATGCAATAATTTTCTTTAGTATCTCGCAATAAGTTAAAAAAAAATTAAAAATGTTAATTTTCAGAATAGCGACCTTGTTGCAATGACCTGGGCAACAAAAATTTAAACCAATTGCATTCGACATTCCGTTTTAAATTCCGGAACTGAATTCCTTCAAATACGTAGTTTAAAAAATATAATTTAACTAAAAAATATCGGTACTACACACAAGGTACTACAAAAAACTTATAGAGTACAACTCCCTTAAAAGTGTTTCTAGAGTGATAGTGAGATCAATCAAACTGATTAAAATAACAGAAATGTTTCACCAACAAAAATGTAAAACTATAAAACAGTATTTTTGACTTGCCAGCTAGCTCTCCGATTAGATCAACAGTAGTTATCGAGGTTATCATCAACGTTTTCAAATATTTAATTCCTACTTTGTACTTAGAATTACAAATTTCATTTAATTAAATTTCGCAATATACCTACAATATGAAACGCAAAGCAGAATGTTTTCATATCTATAACCCTTCTATAACGTAGCAATAAACATCAAATATTCATATTTGACTTAACTCTATAGAGTAGTTGTTACTTTTAGATTTAAAAAAATAATAACAAAAAATGAAAATAAATTGTGTATAATCATGACAACATTAGATATAAAAGTACGCACTTACTATTAGAATGTTAAGAGAGACAAACTGTATAATAAATCGTGAGCTGAAAATAGGATTACATCCAAAAAATAATTACTTTGTTGTAGTTATGGATCGCCTAGATATAAATAATAACTCTTTAATAAATATTTTTTCCAAAACAATCAGAATGAATTAAACAACTAATTTATCAGCTCCGGCTTTTATAGTGGATATAGAGATGTGTCGTTCGTGAATGATTCGTTCGCAATGATCGAATCTTTAGAAAGACGCGTGATTGACTCGGTCACCTTACGTGACCCTATCAATCATATGACCCGAGACACAAAATCCTCTCCTGCGTGTCTTACTGAATTTGAACCTAAAACAACGATCGGATCATTGAAGATTGAAATGAAAAACTCTTTTCATGTATCGCGTCGTTCGAATTAAACCCCCGCCCGTTCAATGATCAATGCACACATCCGAGCCGCATTTTAATATCTAATTTACTGTAATTTACGTCTTATATTGTTTTCACATTATTAGTTAATCAAGGTAGGCATCGCGTCATCGCGATCGCGATATTTCTTCATAATGATTAAGATAAAATAATTCATGCATCATTTCATTCAGCGTTCCGAGTTTCGAATGTTCTGAATAAGTTAGGGTTACACTGAAACAGTAAAGCGATCATTCATATGAACGAATCATGATGAACGGGTCATTTCAATGAATGACCTGGTGAGACACGGGTCACGGGAATGAACCGGGTCTTCCCATCCCTAAGTGGATAATTAATTAATGTCATGTAGCAGTTTAACAAAATGACAATACTCGTACTAATCAAAACCAAGAAAATAATACTATAATCACGAATACTTTATTTTTATATACCTAAACAGGATATTAAAAAATATTTTTTTTCCAAACATCACAAAAGTTTTAATTTTTGCGGCGTGATCGACAATATAATAAAGTCATTTTTCTACGATTGCGCAAAAAGTAGCTATTTTTTATACTATCTACTATATACTGTATTAAAAGTCAATTTTTTTACACTAGTGACTAGACTAGAAAAAATTTGTAAATTTTTGTAAAAATTTGTCAAATCCTGGAAGGTAAACCAAGTTAGGGTTGCCAACCTATTTGCTAACCTATTCCAGAGGAGAGTCCTCTTTTTAACCTCACTGTCCTCTTTTCTCTCACGTATTGAAAAAGTCCTATTTTTTACATACCAAACTGAAAATCTAAAGAATATTCGTCTATCGCCACAATGCTTTAAACAATTATTAATCTGTGTTTTTCACTACTCCCACTCGTTTATACAGAAAAGAAAATGAAGAAATATTTATGTACAAGAAATATTTGTGGAAGCGATAATGTTGTAAGTTAGCTTATGTTTTAAAAAAGTTTTATTGAAAAAGGCTTGTTTTATTTTAACAATTTTTGTGTATAAATATTTTTAAGAAAATATGAAAGGCCATCATCGCATCCGTCGACAAAACTTTTGGTAAATTCTAGACATTTGGGCGAGGTTTCAAACAAATTTTTACCTGTGTCTGTTTTTTACCCCCTCATCCTCTATTTTTTATTTTGAAGGTTGGCAACCCTAAACCAAGTACCAGTACTGGACACCTCGCAGCATCATTCCGGAAAGGAGTTTTAAGTGAAGAACAAGAGATCTCCATGCACAAGCAGTAATGAAAATAAAATTCAAAAGACTACTAGAAATGAAGTTTGTCCAACAATTACCTTAGTAAATTTTTCAAACTGCGACATTAAATATAAAATGAACTCAAAAAAAGTTATTAAAAAAATAAAAATAATATTTGTTTATAGTCATTGTTAGTGGTAATATTATTCTGTGAATTACTGTAAAAACTTTTTAATAAACATTTAAATAAGAATTTCAATTCGATCGTAGAAAAAATGTTGTGTGCAACATGTGATGAACATCTATAATTCAAGGTATTTCTTTTAAATCTTTTTATATTATTTGGAACGTATAAAAATGTTTAAAAAATTATTCGTAGCGTTTGAAAAAAAATAGCATGTTCTATTTGACCAATGCTTGTATGTCGTCTGTCAAAAATATCCCTTCTTTCGCCAAACATACCTTACTTTCGTTCTCCTGAAAAAAACCTCGTCTAAATTGATCGAAATGTTCATTTAAATATTAAAATAAAACAGTCTAAATGCGGAAAATGATCTATTCTTATACACCCACCATGAAAACCTTCGTTCTCAATTAACTACGCACATTTTACAACAATTTTACTTAAAAAGATTTTAAAATTAAATCGCTATCCTTCTCTCTTTCTCTTTGAATTGCAGTCAAAATTTGTTTTTCCTCTTCCTTTTTGATGATAAATGGTTTGTCTTGATTGTTCTCTCGTTTCATGAAATAACGAACTGGTCTTGATATAAAATTTTGAATTAACTGAAAACTCGCTTTGCTTCTACTCGTATTGGGTGAAATAATATTTCTCTTTTTAGTATATATTTTTTTTTTACATATTTATTTTTACTTTTTATATTTATTATTGATTAATACAATTTTTAGTAATGTGTTTCTTCATTTTTTTTTAAATTACTTATACGCGCATTCAAAATTCAGCTAAATCGGAAGAAAAGTTTATAATAATATAGTGTCTAATGTTGTATAGATAATGAGTGGTACGGAACCCTTCGTGCGCGAGTCCGACTCGCACTTGACCAATTTTTTTCTTTACTTACTGTAGGGTATCTGTTCTAATAATTACTGTCAAATTAAGACTCTGTGTCATCAAAACAACAGAACTGAAAGATTGTTTAATATCAGATAACAAAGATAAAGTATCAGATTGATAAGAAAAGAATATAATTGTTTTATTGCAAAGCTCACTCTTAAAGATAAATTTGAATTATTGTTATAGTTAATAGTGGGGTGGCTATTATATCTACCAGTAGTAGTGACAGTATCTTGCGTCGTTCTACGTCGATCAATAAAATACCAAAAATGCTTTCCTACATTATATATTAATAACAGATTTCTTAAAAACAAACCAAACACTTTAACCCATTTTTGGTTATATTAACTGGTTTAACTTGTTCGAACATCAGATATGCCTAATAATAAATCGACACGATAGTTAATAATAGCTTAATTTGGAAAATATTGTAGATTAATAAGCCTACAAATGATTTACGTTTAATAATATACAAACTTCATTCCTACGTTATGTTATTGTAACATTATGATTTGGTTTGGTTTGGAGATTCAAAATTTATACTAATTCTGTAGCCAGTATGTTTTATTTTCAAATATATTGTTTTTCGAATTGTTTTAGTTTAAATGCTGCCGCCCTTCATCCTGCTGCATTTATTTCCTAATGGGTAAAGAGGTACTGATTAGGATTTTGCGGAACCGGAGCTGTTTTTCGGAACCGGGAATTTCGGTACCGCGCCTCTTAGAAACCGGGATTTCCCGTTTTTTTCGATACTTTCGGTACTGACTAATTTTTGTTCAATGGTGGTGCAGTTCATCAATTAGAAAGCAAGAGATGGTTTTTCAAAGTAAAATGGATAAAAAAATTGAGATTTTTTCATCAGTCATGAAAAACAAGTAAAGAAAAAAGTATAGGTAACTTAAATTTCACATCAAACAACATAAAACAACTTATCTGAATTTAAGACAAAGGCCCTAAAATATTGAATTAAAAATGCAAATATCTATTAAAACATAACATAATAAATATTATAGAAACAAAAGAGAAAAGAAGCAAGAACAATAAGAAATAGCATCTGATTTTGACCGCTAGAAAGTATCAAAGGACTTTCTCACGTAA